AAACTATGCTACTGGCAACAGATGCTCAGATTCCACCTGGGAATCCAGCCTTAGGCCTTGTTGTACAAGTCACTGTATGATTCTAGGTCATAGGATTAAATAATGGAAAAAGGCTAAATTTCAGCTCTAAAAGACAGTATTTTTCATATCTCCAGAGTCAGCAAAATGGAAGTAGTCCCTTGCTTAATAAGATAAAACATAAGAAACATAACCAGGTCATGAAGACACAGGAGCTAAGAAACAGAGCAAGGAAGCAACGCTTTGCTTGCAAGGTGTTTACAGGAAGGTTTTAGGCAAAGAAGCAGCAAAGACCTAAACTCACCTGCAAAACTGCAGAAAAAAACCGGCCAATTTGCCACTGTTTCTTTTCACTTCATATTATTTTGATTCCAGTTCTCATCAGAAATAGAGCACTGGCAATTCTGACATTGAATTTTGGGATTCTACAGATAGCTGTTCATATGAGCAGAGCAAAGTCCAGCATTTGGTTCATCCCACCATGTAGGCTTTGTGGGGGGGTGGTAATTTCCCAGATGAACGTATCCTCTGGAGCTCCCTGATGGTGCTTGCCCAGCATAACACATCTACTAGAAAGTGATGCAAGATACTTGATATTTTTCTGGTCCTCCCTGCAGATCAGCTACCTGCTGAGGTAAAATTCAAACTTGATTGTTCTGAAGCGACGAAAGGTTCAAGAATCTCAATGCATGTAGCTCAAGCTCAGCTTAGGAAGGTAAGACACAGAGGGAGAGGTGCTGTAAGAGAGAAATCAAGCTCTAATCTGCTTAGAGTTTAAGTATTGCTTGAGGATCAGAAAGCCGGCGGTATTTCCTGGACAACTCTGTACTGTACACAGCCCATTTTCCACTCTACTTCTATCTCACAAGACGGGTTCTTAGCTGCTATGCAGGTTTATTGTCTTCATTTACTGTTCAAACCAATTGTTCTCACAAGTTACTCTGCACACCTCTCTAGGCTTCTTAACAATACCTTTAAGTAACATAGGACTGAGTTATGTTTATAGTGTCTTGTAATAGTGCCAAATTCCAGATGAAAGGTGACCAGGAATCCTTCCTCCTCAGTAACGCTAAAGTACATCCCCATACAGCATATGCATTTCTGCACATACCAGCTCTTAAACATTAAATTCAGTAGCCTCCAGCCCACAAATAGCACACAGGAACTCCTGGGCAACTGGCTCCAGGTGGCCCTGCTTGAGCAGGGAAGTTGAACCAGATGACCTCCAAAGGTCCCTTCCAACTCCAATGACTCTGATTCTATGAGCTCATATAGCTTCGGAATACTTTGCTGGTTTTCCATGTTGTCTGACTTTATAGGGCAACTCAGAAAGCAGCACCACAAGATGCTTCAGCCAGTCGGCACATTACAAATTCTTAGTGGGTAAGAAAAGCTATAGTACTGACCAGTTACATAGAAAGATGTGATTCAGCATCTCCCCAGCAAGTAGCAGAGTAATGTGATAAATACATTGTCCCCGTCAGAAAGAAAGGTATTTTTTTTTCCCCCTAGATTTCTCTCTCAGGCAGTAAGCCACACTTTCCAGCATTATATGCAAATTTGGAAGACACGATAGGAGAACTCAGCTCAATTCAACAGCTGCTCTCAAGCATATAATGACACTTCACAGTTAACATGCAAGCCTCCTTGATACAATACTACGTGCAGATCAGAGAACCAGCAGAGTATTCCATAGTTATCCCACTTTCCTCCTAAGGCACTATATTTCCTGCTGATTAAGATGGTAAAGAATAAATAACAATTTCTGGAAAGTTTGGGTTCTCTAGAAATCTTGCTTTTCAAGGCAGAAGTGACTTGGTCTTATACTGTGAGAGAGTCATACTTCCAAGGAGGATGTATAAAAGAGAAAGCCCAGCACTGCAAACAGACAATAAATAGAACTCAATTCACTAAAATGGGGGAATGTGTAGCTTCCCTAGAACAAGATTTTCAATTTTAAGAACACCAGCATCCCTGTCTCTAATACACCCTCTACCTACCAAGGAAGTTAATCTAGTCTAAAAGAAATCAGTCCCCCATACTCAGAAATGTAAGGCTGGAGAACCAGAAACTCAATTAAGAACAGTAAGAAATTAAGATGTTTAGTTGAAGTCTAAGGTTTAAAACCTGATAGTAGTCTCCCCTACATTTTCCTATTTCTTACCCACCATGGAGGATACTGCCAAGCAAGAAAACATTTTTCCCTTTTATGCAGCAAATCATGAAGTTTTTCAGAAGGGAAACCACATTTCACTATTTTCTTTTCCAACAGCAGAACACTGACTCATAGCATTATAAAGTGTGGAGGTACAGTATTTCTTTCCAAAAGGCAGTCATGGCTTCACTTTGTATCTCATTTAGGATAACTTTTAGGCACACAAAGTTTGACACACACGTACCACCCAACTTCAAGTATCATTTTTTCTTACTGCTCTTCCCTCTGTGCCCAGGCATATTAGGAAAGGGGCATAAATGCTTACTGAACACAATGGGTTCTAGTGCTAGGTGAAGATTTAAGCATTTGCTTAATTGCACAATGAAGCCCAGGGATGATACTGAAGAGAAACTACATTCCAGAATTTCCTGGTGAAAACACTGAACAACAGCTGATAAAAGCATTTTATCAAAACAGCACATTCAGCGTTCTCATTAACAAGAGAATTTCTATGCAAGACCATGCCATCCAATGCAGAACTATATCTAGAAACTCACTAAGAGGTCACGTGGGTGGTGGCAGATCTGCAGAGGTTTTTGATCAAGCAGAGCACAACCTAGCAGTCACATTTGTACTGGAAGAAGAAAATAATGTCCATGCTAAGACATTGTTCTTGCTCTGGGTAAGTTCTGCTGCTTGACATCATCAGCTTCACATCACGCACTAGATAATAGTCCCCAACTCTACTCCAGACTCTCTGCTACAATCAGAAGTCATTTCACTCCTCTGTACAACAAAACTCAGAGTAAGACTGACCCGTACTTACCCACAGGCTAATGACATCAAGCATCAATGCTAAGTAAAAGATACGTAGCACAGGACCTAGCTCAGGAAGACAAAGGTAAATCCAAATGCCAAAACTGAGTCTTCAGAAATTCTTCCTGTGCTTCAAAGCAGGAAGAGTTACTACAAATGACCTGATTCTAGAAAACATTCTGGAAACACTGTATGAAAACCGAGTAATCCAAGACTACCAACGCATGCACAAGGAAAGGGCATGATGATCAGCATTAAGGGGAGACTAACCAATCCTTGGCTTCTAAATCAAGTCCCTCACAATGATTTACATAAATAATTTGCTATGGAAATTTTTAGTTAAAAAAAAGTCAAGAAATGTGGTCATAGAGATACTCGGTATATAGAGAATAATGGTTCTATCTTGTTCAATACAGTAAAAACTAGGACAGCAATTCCTCACAACTGATCTTCCACATAATCAGTAAAGATTTTTATCCCTCATATGGAGAGAGGAATTTCCTTTGGAAACAGAAAGAATTCCTGCTTCAGGACATGCCTTTGCATGTACTAGTGAGACACGTATACAGTGTTTGCTAACAAACTAAAAAGAACAAAATACTTGGGTTTTTTTGTGAAACTCAAAGACAAATCAAGGATTTTCTACTGGCTTCTGGATAAGGCCTTGTGGATAATTTAGGACAAGTATTTCGGACAAGACACAAGTTTCTGACATTGTCTGTCAAGACTTCAGGTTTTTAAAAGCTACAAATAAAAGTAAAACCAACTTAACTGGTTTCCTAAAATAACTAGTCAGTTCATAACAACTTGCCACCAACACAATGGGAAAGAAGAAAAATTCAGTCCTAAACTTCAACTTTACAAACATTTGAAGGGCTAATCTTTAGGACAGAAATACTTGTGGAATGTTACTTGCAGAAGTGCTTCTATACATTGTCAACAGCAAAATACTGGGCTCCGTGAAGAATCCACCCGCAATTTCAGAAATGTGACAGCAAAAGACGTGGGCAAACATAAATGCCTGCACCTCGAGCTAAGAATGGTCTTCAGTAGGGAAGGGGGAGCCAGGTTCCTTTGATAACTAGTTTCAGTAAAGATTAAGACCATCAAGCATTCATCCAGACAAACATGTCTATAATGGTGCTCCCCCCATTATAGGTCTCAACAACGGGAACCCTACTCATCTCCAATTCCCATTGACTCTGTTGGCGTGTGTACAGGGGATCTCCCCCTAACAATGTTCAACAGATTAGAATCCAGTATGGCTTGGCATGATGCAAGTTTTCTCTGCAGCACTACAATTCCACTCCCACAATACATATTCTACATTCAACGTAGTTCTGTCCCAAATGTGTTACATATTGCTCAAGTCTCAGGACACTGATAAACATGGCACATGGTCAGACAGAAAATTTGTGCAAGGGCTGCAGTAGGATAAAGCAAGAGGACTGATTAATCACAGTATTGTGCCCTACTCCCTGCTTTTTATCCCCCACAAATGGAATCCTGGAATTAGCAAAATTCATACTTCAGCTATTTATCAGTTCTCATGCCCTGAGGACTGGATCTCCTAAAGCTGAGAGATAAGGGCTTCTGAAATTCTCAAGTATGCCCACAGACTGTTGAGCGAGATTTTCCCCAGTCATCTGCTAGAATGAAAGAATTTGTCCATAATAACAAGCACCAGGATGACATAGAATTCAACCACTAAATAGCAAACCAACAGCCTCCCTGCCAAGCTTTCCCACTGCATGGGACTCGCCTCACTCTGATACTCTCATAGGAATCAAAGTGAACAACAGAACCCAAAACAAAATTCGAGCAGCTTCAAAAAGAGGCAAAATCTTACGGATGCTCAACTTTCCTTCTCAATAGTTAACTTTTACAGATACCTGTGTCTACTCCATCACATGTGCATATAACAGCACATTTTCTTCATTACTCAGTTTTTCAATTATCTCCCTTCACCTTGCAGAAAAAAATAAAATAAAAACCCAATCTCTTCATCTTCCAGTACTAGTAATGGGACTCTAGCATACTCCTCCTCCCATAAGCTAGTCTTCTATGTTCAAAAGCACTCAGCATACATAATTTCAGTCACGTTCTCAAAGGGAACAGACATGACAGGTATGGTCCATTCTTAAGGAAGATGAATCATGGTGGGCACTTCTTAACAACACACAGCTGCAGAAGAATACCCAGAGCAAGATAAGACATTTTAGGGAGCCACCCACCCCCGTGGAACGCCAGTGTCTAATATTTTTCCAGCTTCTGTGCAATGGATGTCTCTAACCCTAGTCAGTTCTTCCAGCAAAGATTCTCCCCAACTAGGGTTATACAGTGGGAATTCCAAAGCAACAGGCTATGTACAGACAAATCAGCATTCCCTCCAACAGAGAAATGAAAGGGAGAAAATTCCTGAGGATGTGTATCCTCTACTCCATTTTCTGAATCCCAGCCTCCCCCTTGCCTTGGAATGAGCTCTACAAAGCAGTATCTGTTATGTACATGAATCTCAACTCCCTTCCTTTGGGGAGTTTCCCCTCAAAAGGGACAGGTAAATCCCAGGACAGAGACAGGTGCTGGGGAGGGGGAGGTCTCCTTAGGATGACTCGCCAGAAGCAAGAGAGCCTGCAGCTTTCTTCTTAGGGCGGGCTTTCACACTTCTTACTGGAAGCTGAGAAAGAAAGAGAGGAATCTTAGGTTAGTTTACTTTAACACCTAAATGTCTAACAGAAAGATACAAAAATGTAGAGTGAAAATAGGACAAAACAACTACAACACGATGACCCTATTCATGTCACCGTTGTTTCAAAAAGGCTATTTAACCATTCCATTTGTTTTTGGTTAGTAAACAAATCACTCTGAGCATATCCATCAAATAGTAACCAGGAGAAGACATTCTAAAACAGGACAAGTGTGATAATAAAATCGAAGTCAGCTGTCTCGACAAAAGATTAGACATAGCGGTATTTCAAAGTGGTAACATTCACATAAGACTTCACTGCTAGAACTTTTCTGCTTCTTGACTGCCATCCCAAATGCTGTTCTCTGAAAGATGTAGAAACATCTTGAACTAGTTTGCACACTTTACTCCAGTGTCCTTCCTTCTAGATATTGGCAAGAAGAGTACATTTATGATCTATGACACATTCAGGCCTTCTGGGCAATCTCGGGGATCTCAGTCAAAGACCTCCTACAATTTCTACATCTGAACCAAAGATCCAAACAGACTGAGCATAAAAAACAATGTGCCTGCAAAGGGCTTTATCAGAATTTCTGTATTTACAATAAACAGTATAGAAGAGTCATTACTGTCTTTTCACAGGTTCACTTTAAAAATTCTTCACTAGGAAGCTTAGAATCAAATTTTGTTCCTCTTGTTTCCCTGTTCCTGTCTAATATGCTAGAGAAGAAAGCAGAGGTGTCAACTCAGAAGTAAGCCCTGGGAATTTAAAAAAGATCCAGGCTGATTTAAAATGCATCTTTAGACATACATGTCCATCCTTGGAGATATTCAAAAGCGTTCTGGATATGGGCCTGGGAAACCGGCTCTAGATGGCCTTGCTTGAGCAGTGGGGTTGGACCAGATGCTCTCCAGAGGTCCCCTCCAACCTCAACTATTCTGTGATTCTGTTACAAAGAGTACTTAGTCACATGCAAAGGTGTCCTGCACACTGTAAAATCAGGTTAACAGTAGGACTTAAAATTAAGCAATTACTTTCCACCAAATTATTTAATATTTAGCCTGAAAAGCTCGACAATGCGAGCCACTCGTACAGCACTCTATCTTAAATAAAAATCAAAAATAAAATTAGGAGTCTGAGTTGAATCAAGCAAATAGGACCTCAACTTCACAAAAAGAGAGAAGCATTTTATCACATATAAATCAAGCCACAAGAAACATTCAAGTAAAAGTCAAAACCTGGAAAGTGGCACCTCAAAGCGCATATTCTACAAAACACATCAATGGCTGAAAAAAAAATTGTTAAGCTAAAATGGCTCTTGGACACAACTGCATTTATTTTCATGTATGGTTTGTTTTAATAATAAGAATACAGGCAACTCATGTCCCATCTGAATGGCTGTAAATATCCTAGATCATCACACGGACATATGGAGGGGACAGCTCAACAATGACTAGTTACCCAGACTTTAGGACAAAACCCTGGGGTGGGGGAGTGCAGGGGGGATGGGGAGTAGTGCGTGTGTAATTATGTTTTCGTCATATCTAATATGCAGAAGTCCAGGAAAGCCTACAAGGGTACAGAACCGTTGCATTTTAGATGAGGAGAAAGTGGCTGTCCTAGGGATAAACGTCACAGTAGTATTACATATTCAGACTGTAACAGACAGGAGAAAGGATACAGTCAACAAAACACATTAAAAATATCTAATGCTCCACCCTTCAACAGAAAACCGGAATGAAAGCAAAGCTGGGTCCTGGCTTATGACAAAGGCTCACAGGCATGATAAAAATACAAAAGCTAGAGACTAGTATAGCAAGTAGACAGCAAGTCCTCTGATGTAGGACTCAACTAGCAAAGACTTAGTCCAACAACATTTATACAAACAGCTTTTAAATGCACCAAGACTATGAAGGCAGAGCCTTCCAACAAAGCTTACAAATCAATGTGCTGGAAATAATTTACACGCCAGCTCACCTCAGCTTTCATCATCTTCTTAGGAGTTTTGAGACTTTGGGTACGTTTAGGAAGTTTGTCTCCTGCATCTTCATCTGATGGGTCTGTTCTAGTCTCCGACGGGGTTCCGTTAGACCTCTGTGCCACACTGCTCTCCTCTCCTGAGGAGTAACAGGAAGCTAAGGAGTAAGAGAAAAAGTTTTAGCAAATACTTTTGAAAAATCACATGAAGTCTAAAATGGCCCATCCTGAAGGACCACAGGAAAGGGAGATGTCAACAATCCTTCAGAAGGATAATCCAAAAAGTACAGAGATGTATTAGTAGATGGGAAGGGACTAGGGAAGACAACACAACTTCTCCCAGATGATTTGAAATCTTGTAGTCCTTCTGAGACCCAATGCATGAAAAGTCCAGGGAACCCCTCCTCCCTCACACAATGGCCCAGCGGCAGTGTTCTATACCCGAGTCCTCGATGGTTTCAAGAAGACTTCCACCAGAGGGGTGCAGCTGTGGCTCCTGGCTTCGCATATGCACGGTATCTTCATCCCGGATCAGAGTGAGATCCTGCATGCTGAAACTTCGCAGCTTCTCAGACAAAACTCCCTGGCCCTAAGAGGACATAAAAATTAGGGTCAAGAGCACTTAGCCTTCACTAAGATCATCTCACATGGGATCATTCAGAAGAAGAGGAAAGGTGCCCTATTCCCCACTAGGGTACTCTGAAAAAAAACCAGAGAAGGGAAAAAGAGAAGTATGCTCCCAAGACCAACAGGGAAGAGGTTAAAGCAAAACCCATTCCACTCTCCCTCCACTTTTCATAAGACAAAGGATGGGATTAACTGCAAGGCAAACTGGAGGAAAGGAAAAGTAGACTGGTGCCAACAAGTACCAGCATCCCTAACAGACCCACAGCACTAATTGCTGGCACACAAAACTAAACTGCTAGGGAATTCCTGAATGTTACAGAAGGTGTTGCATTACCTTTGCAGCTGCAGTAACTGCTGCATTGGCAGCAAGGTTTAACCCTCTCTTGCCAACTCGCATCATGGTTTCATAGCTCTTGTCACGAGCCTGAGTAATGTATTCATCAATTTCCTAGGAAGGCAATGTGGAACATGACATTTAGCTCCTCATTACAAACATGATCAAAGTCTCCCCACCATCACCCTTAAAACCCCAAAGCTCATCTGGACGCTTTTTTTTCAGGCTACCAGGTCAGCTGTCATTGATCATGTAACTGCAGTTTCTCTGCTACTTACAGAAAGCTTGCAAATGCAACCTTTACTTGAAGTATGCTATTACAAGTTGTAACAACTGAAACAAAGCTGTTGCTTATACTGACAATGTGAAAAAACAGCATAGCTACAGAACATGCTGCTCCTATCGTGATTCAAAGAGCTTAACTACTGACAGTGACTATAAGGGCTCATGACACTGGTTAGCCAAACATGCTTTCTAAGCATTAGGCAAACTACTGGCTACATTACAATCTTCTGTAAGCTGCCATCGTTGTCAGAGACAGAATCATTCTACATCCACTAATGTCAGCACAAGCATGATTCACACATTTCAGTTTTTATTGTGGCATAACTGAATCAGAAGTCAGTCAGCTCCCAGATAGATCAGTATCTTCTAACAACAAGTGAGTACCTTCTCCTTATTGGAGAGCGTTGGGTGCACAAACTTCCTGTAGAGGACACTGGAGCCCTTGGTGTAAGGGGAGAGCAGCCAAATCACAAATGCGATTTTCAGCTCGAAATAAAAGGGAAACCTGAGAGAAAGAGGGAAGAAAAAAAAAAAGAGAGAGAGAGAAAGATGGAGAACTGGAATCAAGATCAGCACAGAGACAGATGGAGATAACTGGTAAGAGAGCAGCATAGGCAGAAGGAGCAAAGGCAAGATAAAGGCTCAGAAACAAAAGAATCGATATATCAGGTCAGAATAGCAGAACCCTCTTTGGAATCCTAGGACATACCTTCTTCGAGTCTCATTTAGTCTTTCATCCATAGCCGTGAAAACTCCATAAACAGGGCATCTCTCAGCCCTGCAAACACACCAAATTACAATCTGATAGCTACTCTCATAACTCTGAAGTTTGTTTAGAGAGTATCCACTGGATGTTAATATTGTATTAGTTTCCCTCTCATTTTCCAAAGTTTTCAACTACATATCTGAATAGATCTCAAGTTCCTGCTAAGGCTGATGGCTCAGTTTCTGAAACTTCCAGTAGGTACTCCTCAGATAAGACACAAAAGGAGGATCAGTGTAAATGAAAAAGAGCAGGCAGCATGTAAGTCTTTCACCTCTAACCCTTACCCAGTAAAGTCTCTGGGAAGATACAGTAGCAGAGATTGAAACAAGTGAATGCAAACTTCTACTGTCTCTATTAGTAGTAAGAGAGTTCTGTTTTCAGTGGTCCATTTCAAGTATGTGAACAAGCGAAAGCTCTTATACTTTTTAGATCTTTGTCTGCTTTTCAAAGTATCTGCAGGAAGAAGCAAAACTGCTGGGTACTTTTGTAAGGCATGTGTAGCCATTTCATGTTTCTTTAAAAGATGCAACTCTTGACTAGTATTCTTTCAGAGATGTATGCAAAGCTCAAACACTAAAGCAACGAGGAAACTGAAGATATACTGTTCCAAAGGTTCAGTTGAAGACACGTAACAATGATTTGTCCTTTTTGGAGGCCTCCATATTGCCAAGCACGACACACAGCACTGAAAGGATTAAGAACCTGCTTCCCTGACTCCACTCCACCCCACCCCCACTAGTGGAAGATAATTTAATCATGCAAAACACCACTCGGAGCACAGACATGCATCTGATCTGCTCCTCCATACAACAGGCTTGCAAAGCAAAACAGGTCCCTTCCTTCTACAGTTTTTTTTTAAGTGTCGTTTAGACCACCATTTCTCAAACTTGACCAGTTCATATCAACAGCTTCTCGAAAATATTTTGTTATGAATTAATGAAGATCCTCTTACAGATACTGCATATTTATCTTAACTGTTTGCAAGTATAGAAAATGAAACAGCTAAGACAACAGCTACTACCCGCAATATCTACAAACCTGCAGACTCTTCATAGGGATTGAAAACTCCTAAAGGAGAGACAGTTTATTCTTAGCATCCTAACACTACACCTTTAAAAAACAACCAACCAACAAAAAAACCCATGCCACCAAGGAACTCACCAAGAAAGAACAATGTCTGTGAGAGTTTCTGCAGTGGTGAAGAAGGCAAACACAATCCAATACATCATCCACTTCACCTGCAAAAGAGCAGTGACTCAATAAACATCCATCAGAACCCAGAAAAAAGCCAAACGTCTTCTCAGTAAAAATGACTCATCATCTCCACACATCAAGATGAATTCAAAAAGAAGGCATATATAATCAGTAATGGAGAGAGTCACATACCAAATGGTACATTATAGTTTGGGAAAACACGCAGGATTAATGTACTCTAAATAGATAAATGCATACAGATACACTGATGAACACACACCCTGTAGCAATATCATGATGCAACAGTGTTAAAGTCCCAAATAAGCTATCTAAAAAGAGTAAGCAGTTCACTTTGAGAAGTTATAGTCTTTCATATATCATAATTATTGTAATACATACATATATACACACATATGCAAAAGTTCAGTTTCAACTGTAGCCCTATATTTTCTTGATTTAAAGGTTTTTGGGGGGAAGAAAAAACCCCCACCAAACCAACAGATACAGTATTTTGCTTTAACTCACTAATAAGCATTCTTTGCCTTAATCATTACTCCCAGAAACTACATGAGCATTTCTCTTTTCTTTTTAAATAAAGGCCCAGTAAGAGACGTAAGAAAGCAAAGAACATGATGCATCAACCTTATCTTCTTGTTTAAGGCCTTGAGTATAGTTTACAAAGTGTACTTTGCACTATTATGGCACATCTGTATGCCTATCGTCTATCTCCCTACTTCCTCACAACTTTTTCTGGAGCAGTAGGTATTTCTTTCAAAGCAAACACAAAATAATTTCCCCCTAACCACACACACATTCACACTCTGCTGTTTTAGTAACAAGCCTCTCAACTAGAGGCCAATTATGCCTAAAGAAGAATCAGCTGAATTATAAAAACTGCTACCTAAAAATTTCCAATAGCAGAAGAGTCAATATCTTATAAGGGAAATTACCAGTTTTCTATGCTTTTAAGAAGTAAAAATAAATGTAAGTAGCAGATAAATAGAAAGAAGAGGTCACCTTTGCTAAAAGCAACTTAACACTGTTAGTGTCATCAAGAATGGGAAAGAACTAAACTGAATCAAGGAAATTCCACATATTAAATCCGCACATTAATCCATGTATTAAAATTACATGAACAGTTTAGTGACAGTCTTTGTTACAGCAAATGAAGTTATAAAAGCATATATTTCCCCAAACTTGCATGCTTTGGAAAATTTGGTGATCTCTTCTTGAAAGACCCTCCAAAACTTTCTAAAAATCCCAATAAAATTATGCTGCCTCTAAGACAGTGGATGGTTTTGAAGATAGGGGTTAGTAGCCCAAATTATTTCCACTCTATTGTGCAATTTTTTCACAACAGAAATTAGCAAAGCTTGTATTTTATAGCTCTCTCCTACTTTTTTTTTTCTTCCCCTTGTATCACCAGTTTGGACAGGACCAGGAGTCATTCACTCGACTTGTAAAGCAACTCTATGAAATGAATGGTTAACTCTTCAATGCAGCGACATAAATCAGCTCTTGTACGAAAAAGTGTGTGAATAATGACAGACCAAAGGTGGGAAACAGGAATCCCAATGGGTGAGAGATTTCAGAGAAGCTACATACCAGTAAATCTTACTTCAGTATTAGGCAAAATGAAGGCAATAATAATAAAAGCAATTAGCAGATACACAGATATATATAACATAATGAGGAATATGTTTTTTGCAGAAAAAAATTAATCTCACAAACGTAGCAGAATTCTTAGGTTTCCTGTAAGCTCTTGCTATAGCCCTTCCCTTACAGGCAGGGTGTATGGAGTTTCAACAAAGTTTTCAACAAGCCTAAATAAACACTCAAAGAAACGAAACTGTCAAGGATAAAAAGGAAGGGACTTCTGAGGATTAACAATTGGTTAAGAGAGAGGAAACAAAGGATAAAAATAAATGGCCATTTTTCACAATGAGGAAAGTTACCAGTGGAATCCCACAGGAATCAGTGTTGAGATCTGTGCTGCTCATCTTCATGAAAGATCTGGAAAAGGTTGCGAATAATATGATGACAAAATGTGCAGAAGATACTTTTCTATTCAGGGGATTATATATGAGTTCATTAAAGAATTCAGAAAGGGATCTATACTGATTGATCTCCAGTTGACATTTTGTCGCTACATGTCATTAAACACAAAGTGATGAACTTACAGTATCTGCTTTTTCTTAGTGAAAACTAAGTGGTTACATAAATTAGCTCATGCCACTCAGGAGTGCTTGCTGTAGACAGCCTGATGAAACCATAAGCTCAGTGCTCATTAGAATTTTTCATTCTGCTAACAGAATGCTCAGGAGTATTAGAAAAGGAAGTGAGAAGAACAGAAAACATTGCTTTGTTACTGTTTAAATGAACTGTGTGTTCACATCTTTCATACTGGACATAGGTCTCTTGCCCTCTGTCTCTTCCTGCCACCCTTCACCCTACACTCCACAGCTAAAGACAAAAAGAAATACAGCTCTTAAATAAACTAGAAGGATCTAACTTCTAGCTCTAGAAGTCTCTGAAGTGCAGATGACCAGAAACTGGAAGAGCAGAAAGCAGAGGGGAAGAATCACTAATTTTTTTTCTTATGATGTTTGTAATCCACAGATTACAAACACCTTCAAAAACTGAGGGTCAAATCAGGTTGTATTTTTTTTTCAATTCATTCAAAAGGAGTCAGGTCTCTGCTGCTCAGGCTGATGACCACCAACTTCAGCTAACTGCACATATGTAGTCTCCCCAACTCACACCAAGAACCTAAGTAAATTCAGTAAATGCAAAAGCATAGTTGGAATGTAGATTTGACCAAAGCTGAAGATGACACATAAAAGGAACTAAATTACTTTTAAAACAGTCTGAGCTACCAGAAGCAGTTTGTCACAGCTGCTCAAGGACTTACCATAAGTTTATATCATGGTGGGGGAAAAGAGCAAGTTTGCACTGTACTCTGATGCCATGGATGGGCTGCTTGGGGTAGCTTGGTCTGTGTCAACTCAATCTTCAATACACCACACTCTCTAGCACAGATACACCTACAAGATCTTTCTCCCCCACCCATGCTGGTTCTTAAGCACTATGAGCAAGCAGTAGTACATAGACACAGCGGGCTTTGAAAACGTGCAGCACAGCATTCAAGTTTCCCACTGACTTTTCACAGGAAGAACAGTTTGAACAGATATTGGCCCCCTTTCCTGTGTTTAACAAAATTTTCCCTGCCTTTCCACTTACGCTGAGAAGGAATAAGCCCTCCAAAGATCAGTGAATTAGGCAGATGGCAGCCCAACACCTAAATGCTTATTTCTGATGTAGTCCTCTCAAGGAGAAATAATTTACAGATGAGTTTTAGCAGTTCAAATACGTTTTCTTGAACCAACTCCAGTATTTTCACTGAAAATAAACAAGAGAAAATTTTCTGCTGCAGCAATCTAGAACTACCTACTTCAAGAAAGCTGTATCAATGAAGCATTAAACAAAACCCAAAAATGAATGCTGTACTTTTCCACATCAGCCCTAGTGGGGCTTACAACCAGGTGATTAGTTGATACTATTGCGAAGACAACTTTATGATAGTCAAACACTGTATCTCATTTCTTTTTCACCATCAGATTAGGGAAGTCTTACAGCAATTTAGGTAACACCTACCAAAAGAAAATCAGATCAATACAACATTCAAATGCCCTGTTTCCTTGCAGAATGTATGTACCTCAACAGCTAACCTACCCACAGAAAATAAGCAGGTTTTTACTGTAAAGAATGCCTGCAAATTCAAAGGCTCCATATTCACCGGGTCTTTTGAGCTCCAGAAGAAGCATGCTACAGGCTGTTTTAAAAAAGGAGTTTGTGTTTTTTTTTTCCCCCTCAACTTCTCAACAAAACAATTTAAAACTCTGAAATCTGAGTCTGTCTTAAAGTTAACACAGATTCTGTAACTGAACAATCATTCCGTGACAGACACTCATGAGCCAGAATAAAATTCTGGGTAAAAAAAAAAAAACACATTTCATGCAACAAATGAAGGTCACAGGCAACTGGAAGGAAAGAGGAGAGGAAGACCAGACAAGACAAGAGTAATACAATACTACTTCATACATAAGTTCAAAGATAACTATGAAGTCACAGGATCATGCAATTATTCAGATAGTTTCTTTCATGCTTTCTTTTCAGTTTCTAATGTTATTACTGATAAATGTCAAAGTTTAGTAAGCCTCATTGTATTTCTGACTACGTCTCTAATACTCACTCAAAACACTGTATCATTTATCAATGCCTCCTGAACATTCGCATTTTGACTTCTTTGCTGAGACCAGTATTTAAAAAAAACTAAAACACCTCAGCCAGATATTGTGGTCTGTAAAGTTGTCCACTATGAGTGAGACTCTCACCTCAGCTAGCACTTCCATCAAAAACCAGTGGGCTGAATTTTAAGCCAACATGTAGGAAAGGTCTAGGCAATTCTAGAGAACTGAGGCAGCATGAGACAAAAAAAGGACTATATCCTGCAATATTTATTGTTGACGTGTCATTTTGTAAGGAACAAACAGAGCCAGCTGGATGAAGAGTCTCAGACTGCACCACAAAGCAATATTGACAAATTATATCCTCTTCACTCGTATTACCTCTCTTTTCCATCAGGTTATTCCTTGCACTAGATAAACGGAAACTCATCCCCCCCGCAAGCCAAACAGCTCTCGTCTCCACTGAGCAACTTAGAACAGCCCTTCTGCAAGATGACCACACGTCACATCACTAAAAAGCATTTTGTATTTTAAATACAGTAATTGAAGGGTGGCATAGACAGAGAAGGGGAAACGATTCCAGAACAGAAGGAGGATGAAGCCTTGACCAAACTGATTGCAAACAAGGTTGATAGGAAGCCACAAACCAAGCAAGATTACTCAGCTTTTTGGAAGAAAACAAAAATAGTACTGAAAAAGCAGTAAAAGGACACAGAGTGAGGATAAAGTTAGAGGAAAGAACTTGTCCTGCACTTTTAGATGCTTCCAGGCTGCAGCATCTCCCCCACTCTCCCTTCCTCACTCAGCATCTCCTGAGAAAAAACAGCCCACGTTTACGGCTTGAGACCTCCCACTTTAATCAGCGCCCTTCCTCGGCAACTTCTCCAGGGACCGTCGGGGCTGCTGCTGCTCAGCCGGCCGGGCCGACCCGACGCCCCCGCCGAGCCGGAGAGCCCTCGCCTCGGGGACGGCCTGGGGGCTTGCGAGGGACAGGGGCAGGGGCTGCGCCGGCGCGGCCAACCCGAACTCACATATTCCTTCACGTTTTTCGTCTTCACGGCCTTGTAGGAGGAGTACGCGGGGTAGAGGGTGCCAAAGATCAGCCTGCGAGAAGAACATACCCCTCAGCGCTTCGCGCCGTCCCGCACCGCCAGCTGCCTCAGCCCGCCGCCGCGGAGAGCGCCCCGGAGGCTCCCGGCGGGACGCCGGTCCCCCGCGACGGCCCCATAGGCGGGGCTCGGCCGCCCCCCACCCACGGCACCGCCCTTGGGCCGCGGCA